GGCGGGGGCTTAATGCAGGAGTTTGGTGACAGCTCTGTTGACCCAACTGCGCTCTGAGTCCGCAGGCTCCTCTGCAGAGCCTAGCCTCACTGCAGCTCCCCGCCCCTCCCCACAGCATAGCCAGTATTTGGGGGAGGGGAGGCTCCTGCTTAGTAGCCATCTAGAGCCAGGCTCATCCTGGGAAGCTGATCAGGCATTGGCAGAGGCAGCTGGCAGGCCAGCACCGAGGACTGTGCCAGGCCCTTACAGAGCAGGATGGGATGGGAGGGGCCTGCCAGTACCTGATGGGTGTTATAGAGGAGGGAGTTGGGCTGGGCTGCCAGGTTCCCCAGGGAGGGTGCTGGATAAAAGCAAACCAAAGCATTCTCCTATGTTGAAGGGTAGGGAGGTTGCTTCTAGAGGAGGGGAGATGGGCTGCCCAGCCCCCTTCCCTGGGGTCGGTGAGAAACCACAACCTCCTAGCAATCTGGGGCTCCTGGGGCACCAACTTCCTCAGTCTCTTTTCTTGTTACCTCCCCTGACCTCAAGCTGACTTGGGCTTTCAGATGATTTCATAGACTAGCCACCCTCCTACTTCCCAAAGACAACATTAGGAGACTGGGGTCACAGTTAGAGGAGGAAAACTCAAAGAGCTTCTTGGCTGGAAGCATTAGTAGCTGACCAGGTACCAAAGCTGCTGTGGGGCACCTATCTTAGAACAGCGACTGGGACCTTTCCAAAGGTAAGTGACAGCGGAGGGCAGCACCCAGTGGCTAGCCCTGAGGCCCACTGAGTACCTGGATCACAAGGCAAATGTTTCTAAACCGTTAGAAAACAGGATGTGCCCACTGTCGGCTACCACCACTTGCCATCCTGCCTTGGCACAGGGCAATGGAGGAGTGGACTTCGGAAGCCAGGCCTAGAATTCCGCACTAGAAATATTACTAGCCAGCACTTAAAAGCACTTACTCCGTGCCAGGCGTGGTGCTTAGTGCTTTACATATAGAACTTCATGTCAGCCCCGTAACAACCTGGAAAGTGAGTACAATTATAATCATCTGTTTTACAGATGAGAAAACTAAGGCACAGAGGTTAAGCAGCTTGGCTGATTTCAGGGTCTGTGCTCGTAAGCACTTCACCATACGGCCCGTCACTAGAATGAACTCCACATTTTAAATTGAGTTCACATAACATCTAGACCTCTCACTTTGCTTGAAATCCTAATGGCTCTAGCAGCCCTGGGCCCCCCTCCTGTTGTGCAGCAGTTGAAACTACACTTACAGATTGGCAGCTGGGTGCTAGCCACAGTCTCTACCCTTCCCTACCCTACTAAATTATTCACCAGCTCCCTGGCCCTGTGGGCATTTGAACTCCGAATCACCTCCTTAGATAACATTGATTTGCACCCCTGTTAGTAGGAAAGGGACACACTTGCTCCCATTTCTCAGTGCACAAGTGGTCCCCAGAGAATGGAGATGCTGTCCAAACCCCCACACCCCACCCAAAAGTATAGCTGGGTTTCTTCTTATCTGAGACAACACCCACCATAGGGCCAAGATTCCGCCACAGCTGTAGTCTCCAGATCTCCAGAACCAAGAGTCTGGAAGAGGACTGGAAGGGGATTCCAGAGGTTGTCGAAGCCATCCTCCTGCTCTCAACAACTGGGAGAAGCAAGCATGTCCCTTTGGCCCTCAGGGAGCCAATTAACTATGGACAGAGACTCAGGGAAACAGGGGTCAGGGTGAGGCTGCACATGGCCATGAATTAGAGAGGAAGGCAATGTTCAAACCTGAGAGCAGGGGTGCCCAGCAAAGGAAGCCTAACCCACTTTTGGCAGTCAAGTTCAAGGTTGTACCTTACCCTCTGGCTCTATCAGCTGGACTCCTAAGATTTCCCAAGTAACTCTGATCCCTTAATTCTAGTAGCTGCTTCTCTAGAGTCTAGATCAAGAAAAATGAACCCAATTTCAGCTCCCTCTCCATTCCGTACCTGCTTTCTCTAGCATCATCCCCTCTGGTATTTCTTATCTCTGTCCCCAAGACTTAACTCATACAACTCACTTCAGAAAATTGGTGTTGACAGATGGGAGGGCAGCCCAGTGCTCAGGCAGGGTTTGCACACTGAGAAGCAGGCGCTCTTGCATCTTTTTTGGCTCTGGGTCTGAGAGACTAGGAGCATGTCCCTTCACCTGCCTGAACTGTTTCCCCATCGGTGAAATGGGGAAAGTGGTGGAAGTGATTGTCTCTAAGGGCGTTCTGCAGGAGCTTCTGCAGGAAGAAGTGGGACTGGGAGGTTGCTCAGAGTGGAAGGAGCAATGGGGAAGTAAACTCTCATGCACCCCACCAGGTGCAGCTCACCCATCCTGTACACAGGCACGCGTGTCTGCACAGTATTGAGACTGCTGCATGGGAAGGAAGGAAGGAGCCAGTCAGAGGCCCCTCTCCACCCTCACCAGAGAGTTTGCTGGTGGAGGAAGTAAGAATGGTAGTGGCTTGGTGCCGAATGACATGTGAGGTCTGCAGTGCGCAAGGAGACGGGCTTGAATTGAAGAGTTTCTTAACTCCATATGGGTCTGGCTCAAACCAAAACATGTGTTCTAATTTTGTTCCTGGCTTTTTTTTGGCTTAAAAAAAAAAGTAGTTTGAGTAGAAAATCACGGCAGCCTTTGGGTTGGGACTTGGCTGAGGCTGTAGTGGAGCAGCTCCCATTCCTGGCTTGGTCTTTGTACCCGTGCTCCTGGAGGGCAGAAAGAAGGTCTGTACTTTTGTATCTCAAGGGGCCTGGGCATGGGCTGGTCCACATGGATGCCCAAAAAATACTGATGGATAGAAGGCTGTGGAAGCCAAGACCCTCTCCTCTCAGAAGAGTGGGGCACTCCAAAGATGACTCCCCTTGGCCTGCTGTCTCCAGGCTGCTGGGCATTCTCACCTGGCCTCTGAGTGCCCAGGTGCCCCTTAGAGCAGTGTCCCCATACCCCATAGGGCACCTCTCTGGGCAAACAGCAGGGGGCTGTTACCCAGTGCGCTGCGCATCCCCCTGAGCGGGAAGAAGGTGAAGTGACCGCAGTCGCAGTTGCACTACCCTTGTCGGCTGTGTGCACTTGGGCAAATCTGGGCCTCCCTTTCCATGTATATGAAGTGAAGATGGTGATGCCTGCTTCACTGTGTTCTCATGAGAATCCACTGAGATATCAGTACTTGGAAGGAATTAGCACAGGGCCTGGCACATAGTAGGAGCTCCAGGAAGGTAGTTCTGTCCCCTTCCTGAGCCCCTCTCTCCTCCTTCCCCCAGGCACAGAACAAGGAAATTTTAAGTAGTTGACTGCCCCCAGCCCTCCAACCTTCCCATGTGGCAGAGGGCAGGTGGGGAGGAGGGGAGCCCACTAAAATCAAGCTCAGCAGCCTGTGGCACCCAGTACCTGTCACGGGGGCACCTGGCCAAAGGTCATTGCCAGGGTACAGGCTACCCAGGGAGTCAGGAGCAGGCACTCTGGGAGCCTGCTTTCTCGGGTTTGGGGCCTTCGAAGGAGAGCGAGCAGCCCAATGGTCAGGCGAAGGAGGAAGCAAAGGGGAGGGCAGCGGCCGAGGAGGAGGAATGGGGGTTCCATGGGCTTGGGGTGATGAGGTCAGAGTTTAAGACAGGGTGTGGGTCCAGGAGAACAGAAAACCCAGAAGGGCAAGAGGATGGTCCCTTACTTTCACTCTCCCTGGGGGAGGATGGGTATGCAATGCACTTGGACGGTGCTTCGTTGCCTGTGGGAGCAAAGAGAAGGGTTGTTAGGTGGGTGGGAGGCCAGGGAGGCTTGTCTAGGCTGGAATGCCCCTCTCCTGTCACAGCTACTCATGCTACTGTCCACTCAGTAGCACTGGCCTAGGTGGAACCTGCACACACGCACGCACACACGCACACAGGCATATTCTCCCTGCACAGCCAGGCATGCCCTGCCCATTCTCATGCCACCCCAGGAGCATGTGGACACCTGCCCATGCCCACACCTCTGTCCAGTCCAGTTGCACCCTTACCTGGAGAGACACTCACATATACATATTCCCCCGCAGCCATCTGACCATTCACGAACTCTCACCCCAGGTCACATATCATGGTCATGGTACCGTCGCGAGCAGTCACATTCCTAGCCCAGGTTCATGCACACTCTCCCATTAAAAAGCCTCACTGTCACAAACAGAGCCACATGCACCCTTCCTCTCCATCACACCCGGCTGACCAGAGGTAAACACAGCTCCACACATGTGGCCACCCCATCTCACACACACCCAGAGTGCCACTGCCACCCATATAGAATCATACACCCTTCAGCACAATATCACACACAGCACCCCATCGGATACATGGCACCATACCCCCGCAGTCACACTGTCCTCTCTGCTTACCCTTGCACATGGGCACACATGCCATCCCCACAGGGACACCACCCCCTAGGCTGTCCCGTGTCGGAAGTCCTCACCTCTCTGCACCTGCAGCTCCATGGCACCGTGGACCCTCTGCTCTGAGTGGTGGTGCCTGATCTCCACCACGAGGCAGCAGTAGAGGCCGTCGTCCTGTGGGGTCAGGTGGAGCATGGTGATGGAGAAGTTGCCGTGGTGGTCAGAGATTGACTCTAGCCCATGGTGCCGGGCCAGATCCTGGCTGGTGTTGGCGGCCTGGTGGCCACTGTGGTGCAGGTGCAGATCCTGGAACGTGAGGTTGCGGATAGGCCGGCGATCGGAGCAGGCCTGCACCTCTCCCCGTGAACTGCGGTACCATGTCTTGTAGAAGGACACGTCGTGTCCTTTGGCCGCGGAGCCCAAGCCCACAATTCTGCAGGTGAGGGTGACGTTCTGCCCCTCAGGACACACGTACAAGGAATATGGTGTGGCGATCTTGAAGGCTGTCACCAGACCTGCTCAGAGAGATGAGAGCCTGTCACCTGCCTGAGCCAGTGCTACTCTCAGTGCCTACAGAGTGCAGAAGAACCTTGGCCTGGGCTCCAAAGATGCACGTTCCCCAGCCGCAGGTCCCGGGCAGGTCAGCTGACCTCCCTGAGCCTTCATTTATTCATGAACCCAGCTCCATCCCAGGCTTTGTGGAGGAGCCATGGGCGCTTCCCCAGCTGGGGGACCCCCCTACCCCAGGGATGCTGAGTGAGGAGTAGGAGAGACACCAGGCAGGTGGTTGTGAAAGGGCTGAAGGAGGGAAAGTTTGCAAACACAAGATGTGAGCTCTAATGCCATCTACAGACATAGGGAGGGCAGCTATTATTATTAGATGTTAGTGATATTTTCATTTTACTGGCATCTCAGGCATTTGTAGATCAGGAGACAAGGAAGGAGAGACTGGAAATCTGTCTGTACCAAATCCAAACAGGTATGACCTCTTCATTGCCATTGCCTGAACCCAAGGAAGCACCATTTCCTTCAGACACTCCTCCCCTGCCTTTAGAGCCTGGGACCCGCCTGCTGATCTGAAAACCTTGCCCAGTCGGGAGGGAGGCAGCCTGGTGTAGCTTTGCAATTGGACCAGCCTGCCTTGGAGTCCCGTAACTGTAAGTTACTTAAACTCAGAGCCTTGGACTCCTCATTTTAAAACAAAAATGAAAACATCTACCTGCTGGAGCTGAGGCAAGAATTAAAAATAATTTACAAGAAGTGCTCTGAAATGCCTGGCTGGGAGTTGGTGCTTGACGCATGGGAGCAAGGGGGGGTCTCTGATTCATTTCAGCAATTGAAGAAAAGTAGTTCTGCACAATAGAATGGATAAGCAAGCTTCCTAGTCTTTTTCACTAAGCTGTGAATGACTGCTAACAGCTTGTGATTCAGTCTTGGAGCCCTGCATATTGAAAGCAGAGTGTGAGGAGGTAGCAAAGCCACGGCCCCAAAGAATGTGGCTGCAAGGGCAGAGTTTTAGGCCCCAGAGGTAAGGAAGACAGAGCACACTAGAGCCTCCCAGACACTACCCACAAGTAAGAGGGAGCCGTGTCTGGGAGCCCCAGATTTAAAGAAAGTCACTGCCAAGGTGAACAGAAATTTCAGAACTTCTGTGGCAAAATGATGGTCTCCTTTTCAGGTAGAAATATAGAGGCCCAGAAAGAGAAAGTTGTTTGCCTGAAGTTTCAGAGGATATGAGCTCAGGACCTGGAGCATGGGGGCTTCAGGTAAAGCGGGGCCTAGTTAGAACTAGGAGAAGAAATAAACTGTATTGTGTGCCCTGCTAAGTGCTTTATGGGCATGTCTAACATCCCTATAAGATGGGTGTTGAGGTTTTTTCCTGTTTCACTGATAAGGAAACTCTGGCACAGAGATGTTAAGTAACTTACTGAAGATCACACAGCCAGTAACTGCAAGAGCCAGAATTAAGTTCAGGCAGTGCGACACTATACTGGGGGGGGGAATTTCAGAAATTGGCATTCTATGGGACACATCTAGTCTGTAGATATGTTTTATTTGACCCTCAATGTATTTTACATTTGTTTGAGATTGCCATCATTTAAAAACCAGGAATTTAATATGAAAATTCTGACTCTTACCTTCTTTGAAAATCAGAAAATTAACACAAAACCAGCTTTCCTACAAGGCTATCATCAGCTAGAGCTGAGTAGTAGCCTCCCATTTAGATGGTCCATTGATATCCCAGTTTGCCACAGTCCTCACTACTCCCTAATATTTGTCCCTCACCTGCTTCACTCACCATATTTGCTTGGCCCCATGAACATTTGAGTTTGTGACCCATGAGTGTAGCTCCTTGGGCTAGCCAGTGAGGGACTCCACTGCCTAAGCCTATCACCCTACAGATGTGACCCTCAAGCTCAAAGAGGAGATGATCTACCCAAGGTCCCCAGCAGAAGTCTGGCAGAGTAGGCACTAACCAAGCCTCCTCCAACTGCAACCCATTGCTCTTACCTCCTCAGCAGACCTGATAGAAGAGGAGCTCCGTCAGGCTGTGCCCCTGACTGTATCCCTGCCAGCCTCAACTCCCCCTCATAGGCCTGTGCAGGGGAAGGGGGGGGGGTGACCTCAGAACTGGCTGTGCCAATAAATGGAGGTAGGGAGTGGTTAGGGAAAAGACCCTCCCAGGTGCTCCCAGGAAGAACAAAAACCTACTCACAGAGTGAGGGGTGGGGCTGAAATGTAGGCAAGGTGGAGCTAGCTTGGGGTGGGGTGGGATGGGCAAGGTGGGAGCAAGCAGCAGGCCCTCCAATGGGGGCATCAGGCCCAGAGCCCTTAGGGTCCAAGCAGAGGTGCAAATGATAACAGAATTACCCAGACAACAGTGGGTGGGGCTTTTCAGCCCTAGAGACAATGTCCTTGAAAACCCACAGGGGGACACAGAGAGAACTGGGGTTCAGAGGCAGTGGGAGGAGGGGCATTGCTCAATCCCCAAACCCTCACACACCCCAGAAGAAGCTCTTCCCCTTTTAGAAAAAAGGAGAAGCTAGAATTCTGGTTTGGGGGGCAGCAGAGTGCTGTTTCAACAAGTCAGATAAGAGTGGGCTTGGGGTCCATAGGGTTTTGCCCCTAGGGGAGAGAAAGCATCCTACTTATTGTGTGGGAGACTCAAGCCAGATCAAGGTCCAGGGCAGCCTGTCCTTGGGAGGACACACAAGGGCACAGTGTTGGAAAGACAGTGCATGTGCCCCACCCCATCCAGAGCTGCGCATGCGCATGTGTTATCAGGGGATATATGTATTTATATAGCCCAGCTGGAATTATAATTATTTGGTGGGAGGATGTTGTTTATTGTCGTAAGCAGATCCTTTTGGACACCTGGGTCATTGTCAGAGACTTGGGAGAGTGGGTGGGGAGGAAGGCCCCTGGCTCCAGGGCGGCGGAGTTCATATAGGACAGGAAAATGGCCTGGGGCCTGAGCCTGTGCCCAAGGGGGAACCATCCAGTCATTGTGCTGCCCTTTGGCCCAGGCCCCTAGCCACCACTGGGTAAGAAGGCAAAAGCTCCTGGGGGAAGAATGCTGGGAACCTGGAAAATTCCAAGTCTCAGGATTAAAACCTTGGTCTGGGCAGTCAGATCCTTGGGCCCCATCCCCACTTAGCCATGTCCCTACTGCATGTCCTTGGACAGGTGCAATTTTTCTCTGGACCTGCCTTTCTTCATCTTGAGAAGATTCCCCAAGTTCCTGGCACCCCTAGCTCTGAAACCCTGTAGCAGGAGGAAAGGGCTATCTCTCTTCAGGGCAGAGGAACAGGGCAAGAAATGGGCCGCAGAGGTGATCACAGGTGTTTACCCTTGTGTTAGGATTTGCTGAACACTTTATACTCATCTCATTTAATTCTCATAACACCCCCTGATGTAGGTACTATTATCCCCATTTTAAAGATAAGGAAATGGACTCAGAGGAGTCAAGCAATTTGCCCAAGGCCACACAGCCCCATGTGGCTGAGCTGAGACCCACACCTTGGACACACCAGACTGCAGACAGGAAGAGGCCCCATGCCTCCATGGGACAGGACTGACATCTCATCCTCTAGCCTCTAAGAGTGAATTGGCCTTGAACTGACTCTGCTTTCCACACAACCATCCTTTCTCTGCCTCAGGCCAAATCTGAAAAAATATTTAGCCACGCCCAGGACAGAAAGGCCATGGAGTACAGGGTTCCATAAGGGACATCTGCTCAGAATTTTGTTATGCTTCTGCCGCCTTCTAGCTGTGGGACCCTCAGCCACAGGTGTGCTCAGCCTCTGGTAAGAGGTTCTGTTTTAGTACAGGGGAAAGGACCTCTTATCTGACTTCATCTCTTTGTGACCTTCACCTCTTTCTACCCAGCTGGGGCCTCATGGAACTCTGTGAGTGTGCACGGGATGGGGGTGTATGGGTGTGGACAGGCTTGTGTATTTTCCCTGATAGAGCATAAATTCCGCTCACAGTTGCTAAGGCAACGCCCCAGCCTTTGGAGGTGGGTCCCTATCTTAACTGGTTGTGTCGGAGGCCCCACCCAAAGGGCTGAACTCTGTCCAGCTGCTAGGGCTCCTAAGTAAACAGCTACTGATCGCCTGCTATCCTTGCCCTCAAAGGGGACCCAGACATACATGGACCTGGTCTCCAGCTCCCTGCCAGGCCCTTTCCCCCAGGATAGTTCATGAAGGGTATAGGGAAAACCTAGGCTACTTCTTTATCAAGATACAGAGCACAGAGGGAAACAGAGGCAAGGACCAATCAGGACTGAGACTGCCAGAGCTAAGCTCCAGGATATGCCCCTGGGAGAGGGGCTGAGGGCCTGAAGTCGGCAGGTCCGCCCCTGGGGCTCTGTGACCAGCGAGGACAAAGGGCACCTCAGATGTGTTTATTGATACCTGCCCCCGCAGGAAGTGTCCATTCACATTGGACCAAGGAGTCCGGGAAGGGGAAGCCAGACTCTATTGGAGGAAGCCGCACTTCCAGCACCTTGGGAAAGCATCCATGCATCCGGGGCTGGAGGCTGGAGGCCACCTCGCCTCCCTGGGGAGGGCCTGGGCTGCTGGCCTGAGACCCTGCCAGTGGATGCTTCTCTGGATGACTCCTTCCCAGCTCCCCCAGGCCCTCCCTGAGGATGACTGTGTGCAGCCCAGACTACCAGCTCCAGTCAGCTATCCTCAAGATCCTGTGCTGTGAAGACTTCCTAAGGTTCAGGTTCAAGTCTTTTTGCGCCCTACCCTCGGTGCAGGAGGCTAGGTGGGGTAGTAGCAGCTGGCGCTTACTCTGTGCTGGGCGTCATTCTAATCACTTTCACAGGGATTCACTTATTCAGCCCTCCTCCATTTTACAGATGAGGAAGCTGAAGCACAGAGAGGTTAAGTAACTTGCACAGAACCTCTTGAAAAGTAAGTGGTGGTACTAGGATTTGAACCCAGTAGTCTGGCTCTGGAAGTCTGTTGTCATGGACTACCCTCTAGAGCAGGGGTGGGGAACATTCAGCCCGAGGGCCGGCCTTATACGGCCACAAAATCATTTAGTCTGGCCCTGCCAAGGCAACCCCAGGCGGGACTTGAAATTCAATAAATCTAGGAGCTTTTCTTCATAGCTCATTTTTAAGTTGATTTTTGTATGGCCTGGGAATGATGTTATAAATATACAAATGGTCCTTGGCAGAAAAATGGTTCCCCACCCCTGCTCTAGAATGTAGAGGTAGCCAGGGACTGACAGGAGGTCCACCTCCTTGCTGTAGATGGACAACTTAGTGCCAGTGAGGCTGTGAGCTCCTTCCCCTGTCCCCCTGTGGTAACTGGGGTGGCTACTTGGCCCTAGCATAGGAGAGGACCCGGCCGGAGCACTATATTTATTTGGGGAAGGCAACAGAGGCTAAGAGAATTTGGGGCTGGAAAAAGCCGAGCAAGGCCCTCTGAATGCACTGGCCTCTTTCCCTTCCTCCTGGAGAGCTGACCTGTCCTCTACCACCAGCTAATGCTCCTTACAGAGGTGAGACTGCTCCTGTGCTGATGGAGAGGAGCTGACAACACGGACAGCACAGGTAGTTTTCACTTTACCGCATTAAGTACATTGAATCACACAGAGAGAAGGTTATTCCCTTTTCAGTTCTCCTTCAGTCCCGATTATATCAAAGTGAAAGTCCCAGTTCGATGCCAATATGTCTCCAAAACATCTGTCATTTGCTAAGCTCCTTTAGTTTTGTTTGGCTTTGGGGTTGTTTTTGTTTTGCTTTCTGCAAAGGATAGCAGGTTTCGGGCTCCCCAGGCTACAGTTTCTAATTAGAATTTAATACCCTTATTTGATCTTCCTATTATATACTTTTATGATTTTGTTCTATTTATGGCAAGTAATACTGGCTTCCCATTTATGGCAGTGATATAAAGTTTCCTTTTAAAATCTATTTACTTAAGTAAGAGAATGAGTGGATTTAAAGAAAAAATAAGTATAATCATGTTGGGCAGACTCCGCCGAAATCCCAAAGGTGATGCACCAATGACAGAAGCTCGGAAAACGCTATTCTAGAACTACATCCTCACTGAGACCGTGTCACCGGCCTGCCCATGGCTCGCATCAAGGGGAAATGTGTGTTCATGGTCCCACAGTGATGAGCAGCAGAGGCAGGACTTGACCTCATGTCCCCATGGGGAATGAGATCCTTTGTAGGAAGGTTAAAGGAGCTGGGCTTGCTTGATCAGTAATTGCTGAATTACTCATGGGCATGAGTGGCCAGTCTTTCTCTCTGGGGATGGTCAGTCGAAACAAATCGGATGAGATAAAGATCAGTTGCAAGAAAGACCCCTCTGAGTCAAGCAAACCCTGAGTCCAACTTGCCTTGAAGTTGAAAAGTCGCCATTTCTGGGGAATTTTAGGAGGAGAATCCATAGGCACCTCCATGGACATTTCAGACTCTAAGTGCCTATGGGTGCTACAGGTGGCTAGACCCAGCCTGTGTATCCTTCAGAACTCCAGGATTCTAGAGAGTCCAGTCCTAGTGAAATGAGTCAGTGTCTTCCCATGCCCTGGCCACTCTACGGGGCCCTGTAGGCAGCAAGGAGCTCAGATACAAAGCCATTGCCATGTGGCCTCCAGAAGCCAAGAAACAGCATAAACTACACAGCATTCACCAGGTGCCAAGCACTATGTTCAGTGTTTGTGCACTGACTTGGCACAGTAGCTCTCTGAGGGAGGTACTATCATCACCCCCATTTTGCAAGATGAGGGAACTTGCTCAGAAATGTTGAGTAAACTTGTCGAAAGTCACAGAGCAGTAAATGGCATCTTGGGATTCAAACCTAGGTCTAACTGACTCCCAAAGCCAAACTGTTAAGTAGCAGAGCCGTACAGGAAGCCCTGGCATGCAGGGTAGGTACACACTCCAGGTCCCTTGCTTTGCTCCTACACAGGGTGCCAGTGGGTGTGCCTGTGCAGCTCAGGAGATCCCAGGTCCATCAGAAGCTGCATTGCCGATCCCCAGCTCACCTTCCCCTGGTGAGGTTAGACTGATCCTGGACGCATAGTTGGCCTAAAACCTGGGGCCTCAAGCTCAGTATGTATGGCTCAGTCAGTGCTGGTTGAAGGGGTCACTGCCAGGGGACCCCATGTGTGTATGGGAGCCAGAGAGGTCAGGCCCCATCAGGGAACCTTTGCCCTGTAAGAGGAGAAACAGGAGCAGCCAGCCCAGCTCAGAGAAGGGCTCCCCAGAATTGTGGGATGCCCCTGGCATTGGGTAGATGTTCCCTCTTGCCAATGAGTCGGTCTGAACACTGTTTCTCACTACCCCACGGCCTCTGGGAAGAGGGTCATGGATTTCCTAAGTGTTGACCATTGCTGCATCAGAGGCTTGCGCCATGGGGGTTACTCAACAGGGCCCTGCAGCTCTGTTTACCTTGAAGGGGAAGGTGGGTCTCTCCTCCCTGGCCCCAGTGCACTACCATGTGCTAGTCCCAGAGTCTGGGACTCCTAGGTCAGCCAATGAGGACATGGCAAGGGCAATACTTTCATAGGTCCTAGGAATGCCTATAGGGCAAGGAGAGGCTCAGCCACCCTGTGAGTCTGCTGGGTCCTGGTTCCCTAGGTGCCTCCTCCAGTCATGTCCCCATGAGCCAGACTCAGGAAAGGGGTATCTTCAAGTTTCCCTGGGTTCCTGAGCACCATACTCACCACCACCATTGTCCTGGGTGATGGCACAACCACAAAGCTAGTGAACAGGCCTGCACCAGCCACCTTCATCTGGCCTTCCCAAACATAAAGACTGACTTGAGCAATTCTGCCCAGGGCAACCTAGCACCTTAGCTCACTGGTAAGCAGGTCTTTCCAACTCACAGGCGCTCCTGACCATACCTACAACCAGGCCTCCCATCTGGCATCTATCTCCCTTGTACACTGTACCAGGCAGGAAGGTGAATATTCAGTAGTATGCCCATATTGCAGTTAAGAATGCTGAGTCTCGGAGCTGTTCAAAACTTAGAGACTGCTTTCTGTGGAAAGCTGCTTCACGTCCTGATTATCTCCCTGAGCTGGGCCCAGGAAGAGCTGGAGTACCAAGCTGTTTGAGTAGCCAAGACCCCTGGCGGTAAAGGCTCCTGGCTATGTAGACAATATGGAGTGAGGGGCTCTGAGTCTCTGCCCCTGGCTGCTCTGCAAGCTGGGTCTCTAAACCCTAGTTCTCTAGAACTCAGTTTCCCAAATTGGGGCTGCTGAACAGAGAACAGCCCAGCCAGGGAGTGAAGGAGATGGGTAAGAAAACTGAAGGGCCTCTCGGGGTCACTTGGAGAGGATGGGGCAGGGCAGGTGGAGCAAGGAGCTCCTTCCTGCCTGCCACCATCCCCTGCCCCTTTTGGAAGCCATGTCCTGACATGAGCTATGGCTCTGGTGCCAAGACTGCCCTCCAACCCCCAATCCCCGTCTCTCCAGGGTTGAGTATCCAGGCTGGAATTTAGGCAGCACTGTCTGTGGGCTCCCTCCTCCTTGTCAGGGGCCCAGACCAGTGTCCAAGCACTGAGATACCATGCTGCCTATTTTCCATGTCTCCTCCTGTCTCTTACCCTGTCCTTTCCCTCCTCTTTCCTTCTTCTCTAACCCACCCATTGGGTGTCTGTGCCAAGCTTCCAGCCTCCCTCCTGCCTCCCTCTGACTCCTTGCGTGACTCACACTTTCCCAGGGCCCTCCCCATAAAGTTTCGTTCCACAGGCTGCCTGCCGGCCTGCTCTTCCCTGGAAATCCAGCCTCTTCAGTTCTGGGCAGGCAAGAACTGGAGGCCAGGCTGTGGGTACTATGACCCCCACCACCACCACCACCACCACCAGGAGTTCCTGTGGCGTGGCCAGAATATCACCTGGAGCTGTCATAGTTTTCCTCTTGGCCAAAGAGGAAAGTGGCACCTCCTTGTGTAGGGCTTCTGTGTTTGAGCGGAGGAAACTGAGGCCAGAAAGATGCCATAAGTTGCCCAAGGACACAGAGTGCACTCACAGCTGAGCTGGGAAAGTACCCCACGTGGGTCCCTGAGCTCAGCTTCTCAAGGATGCCAGGAACCAGCTGACCACTCAACTTTCAGCCATCAGTCCCTCAGGATAAAGACAAGATGGGCACCCATGTCTGGGAGTGGACCAGTGCCCACACTGTCCAGTGCCCAGCCAGGCTGAAGCAGGAGTGTCACCAGAGGACAGGGCACAGGCTGAGAGGACCACACCCCCTGCACCCTGTGGGATCCTGGAACCCCGAGGCGGGAGGGGCAGGGAGATGCCACAGGTGTCAGAAGCCAGTGCATTCACTAGAACACATTGGGGCTGTCCTCACAATGCTCATCTCCTGTTCTGCGGAAGCTGCTCTCACCCTGGGCTCTCCGGGCAAGGAAGTTGGATAGGCAGCTGCTTGGGCAGCTGTCAGAGCATAGAGAGGTGCCCACCTCGCAGCCAGGGCACTTGGCAGAGACCCTGCCCCCTGCTAAGCTGTCCCAGCAGCCTCCCTGAGGGAGCGGGGCACCCCATCCAGACTGCGACCCCCTCACCCAACCCACTCTGTTCCCCCCGGGCTCTGTCACCTTACCTCGGGAGGCAGCCAGGAAGAGAGCGAGGAGCACAGGCCCCCAGCGCCGGCAGCCAGCCTCCGGGGCAGCGGGGAAGCCCATGTCACCGGCAGGCCTGGCCGAGCGGCTGGGTGGCCGGCCGAGCAGTGGCTGGGGCAGCCTAGCAGAAGCAGGGCTGTGGACACGCGGGGAGAACTCTTGGTGTGCACAGGGCAGGCTGCGCAGGCTAGGAAACTCCCCGCGAGTGAGCGAGAGCCAGCAAGTGAAAGCAGCGCCAGACAGCCGCCTGCTCAGCACCCGCCCCCACGCAGCGCCCCCAGGAGGCTGTGGCGGGCACTGTTTCCAAGTGCCCTGTGGGCGGGGCTTCCCGCTGACTGGCACCGTAGCGGAGCCAGCCGGTGTCCCAGCGAGCCAGCGCCACTTGATCTCCAGTTTAAAGCCTTTTCTACTCTTCCCCCATTCCTCTTGGGAAAGTGTTAGATATACAGAAACTCACCAGGGCAGGAAGCCCCGGGTGCCTAGCAAGGGGCAAAACTGGGAAAACAAGAACCTTGTCCCCAAGGTAACCTGTCCTCCCCCAGCATATCCCTAGTCCTGTGGTTTAGACCCCCTGAGAGTTTCCTCCCTAAAGATAACATCTAGGCCTCAACTGTATTTGAGCTCCAGGCCCAGATAAGCAGCAAAACCAGACAGGTGGGATCCATGGCTGACTCAAGACCAGATACATTGACTTATGACCCCCCCTGGCACTAACCAATCAGCGGAGACCATGACCCTGAAAGAGCATCCCTGGGAAGCTGATGAATATTCTATTGAGACACTCCCCTGAGACCTCCTGCAAGATCCCTACCTGCAAGAAAGGGAAACACAAAGGGCTCCAACCTCACCAGGGGAGCTCACCTGTGCCATCTCCATTACTCTGAGGGGACCCCAGGAGATTGGCAATGGGCAGCAGAATCTGTCCTGGGCTTACCCCCTGAACCTATCTCCAAGGCCCTGTTTCAGAGAGGATTAGTATTGTTGCACAGCCTGAGAAGTGTATCTATGTGTAACTTAGTCACCATGGGTTGTGTCTGCCCTTAGCCACCAGCCTTTGAGTTGGCTGGGGGCAGGGGCTTGTACCCTATATCCACCAGCCCAGCCCAGCCCAGCCCAGCCCGAGGCCTGGTATGTGATAGGCACTCCCAGTTGTGGAATGAATGAATGAAAAAAAATCTAACTTTGGAGCAGACTTGACTGTAGATTCCAGAGCCTGCAGCACCCTGGTGCACATGCACACTGCACACAGACGTGGCACAGGGGCAGTAATACACAACAGGCTTGGCACATCCCTGCACTAGGACACATGTATTTGCGTGCGCAGCATCTGGTCGTGTGTCCCATAGAAAATCATCAGTGCTCCTCTCCCTGCAGGCCCCAACTTCCCTTCCCACTTTGCACCATCTCACTCCCTGTGCCTGGGCATCCTCAGGACACTCGCACGGACACACCCCCACTACCAGTGCCCTGCTCTTGCACCACACTCAGCACACTGGCATCACTGGCATGTCTCTCTCCTCCAGATTCTTCTCATCCCTCAGGGCTCAACTCAAGTCCTTCACAAAATGCTCTGAACTTCTCCTGAGGGTCCCCCCTCCAGACCTTATATCCACACTCCTTCAGCCATCACACCAGTCCTGGGGTTACCAACCAGTTGATCTCATCTGGGCTCATCTGCCCTTCTGAGTTAGACCATGAGCTTTTGGAGATGAGGGCCTCTCCTTGGTGTTCCTGAGTCCTTGGCACAGGACTGGGCATTGAGGTATTTAATGCACTCTTGTCTTAATGGGCAAACCGGTGAATAAGTTAGTGATTTCCTAAATGGAAGAGTGGAGGTGACAGTGGCTAGGACCAGGGATTGGAAGAGAGGGAGGGCACAGCCATTGTACCAGTTTACCCCAGCTTGGCTGAAGCTTCAGGAGTTTTGCTGGCACATTAGGGATCTTGAGCTCACAGGCAGCTCCCAGGCTGGGCAGAGGACACAGCCAGAGTCCGTCTGGGTCAGGAATCGTGGAAGTGGGACTCAAGAGTAGTCAGGAATTCTGGGTGCCCTAATCCAAGTCAGAGGCTCTCTGAGAGATCTCAGCCCTCACTCCTGGAGCAGGAAAGACTACAACAGAGAAAGGGTGGTTGCTGTGCTGTTACTAGATGACCTTGTGCAGGCCCAGTCCTCCTGGAGCCAGGGAATCTCCTTGGGATGGGAGGCCCAGAGACCACCAGGACATAACCAGGTCCTTGATCCTGATCCTGATCCTGATCTTATAGCCCCACTTCAGAGACAGCCCAGGGCCCTTCCTGCTGTCAGAGTGTGAGCTCTTCCACCCTGAGAAGGTACAAAGCCAATTGAAGTGAGGTGGGTACTGATCCCTCTTTCCACCTTGGCCATTCTCTGGTAGAGGTGGGGTCCTTCAAGGCTTAGAACCTGGAGCACCTGCTCTCACCACCCTCCATTTCTTCCTGGCCTGACCTTGCCCAAACCACCCTTGAAACCAGACTCCCTCTGCCCCAAGGCCTAGAAGGTAGGTGCAGAGAGCCTGGGATTAGAGGGAGGGGAGCAACTTCCCTGCCAAGCCCTCCCCCAGAGGGCTAGAACACCTGAGCCTACCCATGATGCTCTCCTCCACTTCCTTCCTCCCCTCCACACTTCCCACCAGCTGAGCTTGCTGAGTTTGCGGCAGGGGGAGACGTGCAAGAATTGCTCAAGGTGTGAACATGGTCCAGAGTCTCAAGCACTGTTTTTGCAATGCTAGGTCAGAAAGGGCATTTTGGGGCACTAACTTCCTCCTTAAGAGACCAGAGGGAGTCAGACCCACCCCCCTCCCAAGCTTAGGCCTGATCTCAGAGAGAAGAGGCTCCATTAGAACCTCCCAGTCCCAGCCCCTGCAGCCTGCAGGCTGCAGAATTGTTAGACCCACTTCCCGGAGTCTGGGAAAGTGGGGAAATGTCAGCATTGCCACCCCCATTGGAGAGGCTGGAATTTGTTCCCTTTCCTGCAAGGCGGTGCCCTTGTGCTGACAGAATGGTTCCTGTTAGTCAGGGTCCTAGCAGTAAAGAGATGACACACTCTGGGCTCAGGGCCTGTTACAGAGAGCTGGTGCAGCCCCTCAGACTAGCAACTGCAGGGAGCCGTTACCACTCACGTAGCCAAGAGGACAAGAAGAGGAAGTGAGGTAACTGGAGCCCCGAGAGAGCTGAGAGCTGAGAGCTGGAGCTGTCACAGGGGCCACTCAGCAGGAGAAACACAGCCACTGGCAGGACTACAGTGAGGAAAGGAGGGAGTGGGGAAGAGAAGCCCGCCTCACCCTCCTCCCTCCATGGCCCAACCCATCTGGAAGTTCGCAGAGGGACATCCTTCCAGAAGGAGAAGCAGAAAATGGAGGGGGATGGGACGAGGCGCAGAGAATATCAGTACGTGGCTAACCCCAGTCTTCCGTGCTTGAGAAGTGCCTTACTGACCGTTTCTCCATGGTGCTGATGCTGAGTTCCAGTGGTCTAAATATTGCATGTGGTCCAGGGACCAAGCATCAGCCAGAAATGGCCAATCACAGGAGAGCATGTTGCAGAAACTGTTCGTGCAGCAAAGCATGTTCCAGGAGCTTCCTTTTTCTCGGCTCAACAAATTCTGCCCATGGAATCGCCTGAAATCATCCTCCCTAAAAATGCTGGAAGTGGATATTTCTTGCGTCTATGTGAACATGGGTGAGGCGTAAACAGTGTGTTGGGTTAAATACTTCACATTCTTGCCTTTTGCAATCTGGATGGAGGCCCAGGGTGAGTAAGGCCCTGTCCCAGGCAAAGCGATGGCCTTGAGGTGGTTACTAGGGTCCATCTTACATGCCAATTTTATTCATTTATTATTATTTTTTTTAATATATCTTTATTGATTTCAGAGAGAGGAAAGGAGAGGGAGAGATAGAAACATCAATGATGAGAGAGTCATTGATCGGCCACCTCCTGCACGCCCCTGACTGGGGATCGAGCCTGCCACCTGGGCATGTGCCCTGACCAGGAATCGAACCCCTATCACCTGGATCCTAGGTTGATGTTCAACCGCTGAGCCACGCCCAGCCGGGCTACATGCCAATTTCAATCACTTGGTCTCTGGGCTGGTAAGGATCCTGAAGTTACATCTGGCCTTGGCAGTGCCATGATTGATTAGTGATGTCTGCCATGGGCATGGACAGGGAAGTGGTGGCGCAATGCCATCTTGGACCTAAGCAGTTACCTAGGTGGCTTTGGTGGCGCCCCCGTGATTGCTCCCTCTACCAGCCTGTGACTTCTCTCCCTCGCCAGGGTGAACCACGCAGAGTGAGGTCAGCCTGGAAGAACGTCCAGCTGGCTCCGCCTCCGCCTCTCTAGCCAGGTGACCCAGGACCCATCTTCTCTTCCACAGGCCACCACTCACGTATACGTGACCATCGTGGACGAGAATGATAACGCCCCCGCGTTCCAGCAGCCCCACTATGAGATCTTACTGGATGAGGGCCCAGACACGGTCAATGCCAGCCTCGTCACCGTCCAGGCGCAGGACCCGGACGAGGGGCCTAATGGCACCGTCACCTACGCCATCATTGCAGGCAACATCATCGACACTTTCCATATTGACAGACACACGGTCAGCAGCTGGTGACTGGGGCCTAAGAAGAGGGTCGGGTCAGCTAACAGGATTGGAGGGGAGCGCAGTGACACCATGGGGGTGGGGACAGAGCAAAGATGGGGTCTGAGAGGAAGCTGTGGGGGCAGCACTGCTGGATAGTGAAAACCTTGGGTGGGTGGCAACAAGCGTTTCCCATCATGGACAGGATGTCAGGGCCTACCTGCTGGGGTGGTCAGAGTGTCCCATAAAGGAGCTGGTCCCCAGGGTGACCTAGGCCCACTACCCATTGATCTACCCTTGTTCCTTCTGTGTATCCCCCAGGGTGTCATCAGTGCTGCCAAGGAGCTGGACTACGAGATCAGCCATGGCCGCTACACCCTGATCGTCACAGCCACAGACCAGTGCCCCATCTTGTCCCGCCGCCTCACCTCCACCACCACGGTGGGTGGG